AAAAATCGTTTGATTGAACTGGGTCCAATTGAATGGAACAATATTTGAATACTTAATAACTTCAACTACGACATGCTCTAAGGGTGGAAACAAAATTTACGAGGAATTCTGGATAGGTGGTGTGTCGGACATTTTCTGACGGATATCTATCAAAAGTTATATATATAGGTGCATAATACAGTGAATCAAACTCATGGTAGAAGTAAGTTTGTATTCAGCATACCTTCAACTGTAGCGATGAATAGGCATTGCAGTCCCAAGTGAATCTCAGTCGACTGCCGCCAACTATGAATTTTAAACACTTTTACTTCGTTTGATTACATATGAGCAACCTAAAACCTAAAAAAGCATTATTGATATCATTATCCGGCTTTTGTTATCTTGTGTGCACATCTACATGAACTATTCAAAAGGCAGTATTCAAATGTAGGGTTGTATTTATCTGCTGGACAGGCGTTGATTGCTTTGCAACGAAGTTACAGGTGAATAATTATATTGTTACGATAATGGTATTGGTCGTAATAATCTGATGACTGAAAAGTGGAGAGTCGGAGCCTCTGAGTCTGAGGGCTGAGGCTCTGACTTCTTGAGCCTTCGCTAATCAGTAATCTCTTCTTCTCTCTTGTGTGTTGTGTGAGAGTCGGTGAGAGACTGGAGTTGGGACGCTCTCTCTATCGTTGTGTGAAGACAGTTGAGAGTGATGAAATGATCTATCAGTAACTGACGATCCCGAAATCCATATCGGTATATAGAATTTGATGACGAAGAATTACATCACTATTATAGCTATTATTACGAATAAAGTTTCAGAATTCTTCAAAAAGGACGCGTAAAATACAAAGCCTTCTTCATTCGAATGTAATAAATAATAAAATAAAAACTGTTCAATTTTCAGAAGGCTATGTAAAAACAAAAATTTGAAGTAATTCTTTAAGCATTTTATATATAGAATGTCGCTAACTGTCAGAGTGTCATTCTGTCAGGGCCTTAGGGGGAGGCATCCGAATGATTTTATCAAAGAATAACCAATCTTTGCTGTGTTGCACTGTGTAGTGTGCATGTCCATCTGCTTCAACTGACGTTATATAGTTAGCACCATACAGCGGGCTTGGAAATGCCAGGCCCTATATGCGTATACTCAAGATATGCGATTGTAGAGTATGTAGAGTCTCAACGTGCTTTCAATATGATATTCCATTGATATGCGGTCTTGGTAGCTCAAACCCAAACAGAAATACATGGTCGAAGGTACCATGCTAAGTTGTCCTCGAGGTTCACATGGCTTAACGATATGGGATATACATAGTATTTCGGAAGGTATACGGACAGCCCATACTACACACGTTTTACACCACACTCCTACTTGTTGCCTCCAGAAGAGACAGTTTCCTTCCGCTCACACACATCCCCTTCACACACAACTTCGCCAGCTACAGCAGCCACGTAACGGTTCGGTGCAATTAAGCCCTTGATGGAGTTGAGTGTGTCCATCCACGCAGGGGCGTACATGAGTTCTACAAGACTTTTGGCAAACACAAAGCTACCGGCATTCATGGGATACTTGAGCGGGGGCGGGATGGACGTGCGTACTCCAGATACTAGATCTGAGGTGATGCTGCGTAGTGCGCAGTTGCCGCGAAGACCTGTTGAACATGAGGGGTTACATGTATAGTATGAAAATTACGTAGCGCAAAATTGTCGTCAAGTAGCATTTCCACAGTGGTCATTTAGGCGTATCAATACCCAGAAGATATACCTCAAAATTCCCCTTTTGGCTTTGCGAAGCATAACAATCTAAACAAAAACTATTATATCTGAGAGCGTGTCCCTATTGGCCAAAACTGGCACAAAAAGTAAATCAAATCAACCTAAAGATTACCTTCAGGACCTGCGAATCGATCAAATCCAGAAGTGTTGATACCACCAAATGGCAGCGACTGACATAGGTAGTTCACTCCGAAATCGTTGATGTTACACATTCCGGTCACCAGCTGGGCGCCAATGGCCTCCGCGCGGTTGTAGTCGAGGGAGAAGACACTGGAGCCGAGTCCGTACCTGGAATATGAGTGAGAGAGTTTAGAAAAAGTGTGAGGAATACAGGAGTATTGCGGTGGTGTCGTACATTCAAGGGATAATATATATATATATATATACACATACACACACATATATATATACTTGAGATCAGTGTATATAGCAATTATTTGTGATGTTTAGGGGTGCTTCATCGCATGTGCGGCAAGTCTGATAGTTTATGTCCTAATATTCTATTTCGGTATATGGAAGGTAAGAATAACACACACGTGAATGTAAACGTGAAAGCACCAAATCCCATCTATTTTAAATATCATACGTTGTAGAATATAAAGCTACGGTACTCATACCCAGTGGAGTTGACGATAGACACTGCCTCGGCATCATCCTTGAACTTCATCATAGTCATAATAGGGCCAAACACTTCTTCCTTGGCGATCCGCATATCCACGGTCACATCGACCAACAGGGTGGGCTCAAAGAATAGCCCGTGTTCAGTCTGGCGTGGTTTACCACCGACAAGACAGCGAGCGCCGTGAGAAACCGCATCATCGACATATGATTGGATCTTATCAAGCTGGAAGTTTGGAAAATTGAATATCAATATATGAGTAGTGTACATAATTTGTACCAGCCCGTTTCTTTGGAATGCAGCTGGCATTCATTTTTCAATCCAGAATTCCATCAGATATGAAACAGTACCAAAGTGTAGTTCCGAACAATGTACAGCGTTTCGTGCTTGACAACTTGTTGGCATATAACTGATGTATGCTAAATTATACAATGCTGCTATCGGTTTCTACAGATCCTTCAGAAAAGGTCAAAGCCAGACAAAGCTCTAAGCGGGGAATGTGTGACACAATAACACTCAACAAGTGAAAACAACGTTTATGGCACCGATGAAGCTTCCACAATGTTATACCAGTGTATTCAAAGGTACAAGAATGGTAATGAGATTGCACTATGATCTTTACCGAAGCTTGCATAGTCATGGCACCAGTATCGAAGTTGCCAGTCGCGACACCACCCTGAGTCAGTTCCTTTACGTTCTTCTCCATGTCCGACACCAATTTGTCGTACACACCCCCTTGCACAACAAGTCGCTCCAGTCCTATGCAATTCTGCCCACAGTTCTGGAACACGCCTCGCATGCAGATATTGAGGACTTGGTCGTAGTCACAGTCATCGCAGATCACTGCTGCGTCCTGTATACCGAAAGAAAACAAGTATAGATAACAGCTATATTGAAAATGGTCACATACTTTTAAACCTGTTGCTAAATGTAAGTTGATTTTTCATACACACGAAACATATTTATCTGTAACGGTCCTTTGAACCAAGACGAATTAATCAAATATTATTACGACACCAAATATGACATACTTTTACGCATACATAGATGAATGTGTACATACATACATTCAACATAAATGTGTACATACATACATTCAACATAAATGTGTACATACATACATTCAACATAAAAGTGTGTGATATTCCGTCAAAAAAGCAAAACGCATGCACGAAATTACGAACATATATATATATATATATAAGTGTGTGTGTATATGTATATGTATATACATACATACACACATACGCACACATGCAAGCATACACACACACACATATATATATACATATATAATATGTGCGTGTGAGTATTATATATATATATATATATAAGTATATATACATATATATAAATATATAGATATACATACATACATACACAACACATATATATGCACATATATATAAGTATAAATATATATATATATATTATGATTTATACCTTTCCGCCCAGCTCAAGCAAAACAGGTGTGAGGGTCTCGGAAGCTGTCTTCATCACAAGTTTACCTACACCGGGCGAGCCAATGAAGGTGACCTTACTGACATTTCGAATGACTTCTTCGCCAGCGTCCGCATATCCTACGATGAACTGGAGAAAGCAGCAAACGTATGAGAATATAACATAAATGACAAGAGTACAAGGGAATAGGGTTTTAGTGGACGCGCATAGTATACAAATTTACGATGATTCGTGTGTAAATATGAAGGTACACTAATGAGTATATTCGCGATTGGTGACTGCCTTGAACTTATTGGGCTCTTTGTAGAAGTTCAAAGTAGACAAGTTATGGATTGTTAAAGTCTGGTACGAATGGCACAGATATTAAAAACTGGATGTTCCATTCAGTTTATGGGCGTTCGGTTGCGTCAAAGGTTTTCAATCGCTGTCCAACTAATTCAGGGACACAAAAGATTGTTGTAGTATTATCCAGGCTATAGTATGTGATAAGTGTATAGTACAACCAACGACCGCATGTTTTCTGTAGATGCACTTGTACATCAACAAACGCGCTAGAAAAAGACTTATGATTTACTAATATACGAACTATGGAGCTCATCTGTGTACCGGAAAGACGTGGTAATGCTGCAGAGTACATGCATGTACCTGAACCAGATCCTCCGAATGGCCACACTCCCGCAGTGCATTCTTGATCACATGCTGGAAGTACTCACGAGTACTCCAAGCCACATGCTCTGACACTTTCAGAACGATAGCATTACCTGCGGTTGACGAAGGAAAGAAGCAATGCTGTGAGACATCAGAAGGTGTTGACTATACAGACAACACACTGTACACATGCGATATAAGGAAAGCGTAAACGTATACGATTACGCACAAGTTAATCAACCTGGGGTCTACAGCAACATGTTGGCGTTCCCGATGCCACGATATACTGATGGAGTGTGCACTCTGAGTACACAGCTTTGTCATAGAGAATACAAAAGTATGCAGCAGGTATAATATACAAAGTACCGTTTGGTGATGATGATCCTCGCACATATCACAACTTAAAAACAGGTAGCTACTGATTCTAGTGTATCTAAAGCTTCACACGTATCGGAGGAGTCGTGCGAGGAAAAATAATGTACTTACCTGCAAATAAAGCTGAGATGATGGGACCGTATGTGTTGTGGAAGGGATAGTTCCAGCTGACAATCGCGGCTACGACACCGAGAGGAGAATACTCAACTCGTGCCGTTTTGTGCGCCATAATCCACCCAACACCCCTAGAAGGTGAATAAAATGGCCAATAAGATAACTTCATAGGGACTGAAGTAAGCATCATATACAGACATAAAAGATCTTTGTACTGATAGCAGAATACACACACGAGACTATACCATCACTGGAAAAATAAGTTGCCAATATGAATGTATAATGTTATGTTTAGTGCTCATGCTTTCCTTCCTCTGACGACTTCTGGTACATACTGCATACACTTAACATAGTCTACACACCGATACTCTGTCTTCAGAGCTTTCTCTCCCTCGGCCACAGTCCATCTGATCTTCTCGCACGTGGTTAAAATCTCACCAAAGACCCCATCCACCACTACGAATGAAAATAGGTCATGATAGATCAACGGTATGTTCAAATACATATCTATTTGATACTCAATTATGGTCACAAAATCGTCTTTTCAGTCTTGAACCCGAACTTATTCTCACACGTAATGGCATTCTCATATCATCGCAAGTATGCAATACCATCGGTACCCGAAGAAAGAAAATATAGCACTTCAAACTGCACTTGAACACCAGTTTGTTGGTAACGTTAATGGGGACATACGGATACATACTGGTTTTTCCAGAGTCACGAGCGGCCACCTTGCAGATAGTCTCTTGCTCACGCACAACAAACTCATTGAGAGCCAACAGCACGCGCTTCCTCTCTGTGAACGATGTCTTGGCCCACGCCACCTGTGCCTTGCGTGCTTTGGCTACAGCGTCACGCACGTCCGCAGGGGTCATGGCGGTATACACTCCTGTTCGGAAGGTAATAGTGTATGATGGAATATATGTTGTAAGTTGAGTTCATTGCGGTGCGAACACTATTGTTCGTTAGAAGGTATATGATGGTAGGATATGTTATATATAGATTTCATTGCGCTATAAAATACTGTTCGATAGTGTGCATGGTGGTACGCAATATGATGGTGTATACACATGTTCGCTATCCACTTAATGATAAGATGTATTTCAAGAAGGTGGTTCTATTTATGTACAAACGGTGATTGTAGCAAAAAAATCTTGTTGAGACTAGAACAAGATTCGCCACTATACACAGGTGAACGAGACAGGCATTTTTTTTTTGAACGATTGAAGCGTATCCCCTACGCAATTAGTATCGACAGAAGTGTGGTATACGATGTTGATACCACTGAGCTTCCTTTATAGTGTCACCAATTGCACTTAACTGCACATAGTCTCTCCTATTGATTATAAATAGACATATCACTGTCTGGTGGTGTTTGACTAGATAAAAAAAGTTATGTGTTAGTGTTATACTACGACAAAATTCGATGTTAAGTCGAGAGGGAATGCATAAGTTCCAGCTGATATTAAGCTGCCGGGTGAAACAATTCCTTAATTAACTTGTCCAAAACCTAAATGTATCATGCGTTTGTTCCCAATTAGTCATTTCAATCTAGTACACTGCCCGACAGCATCACCTTAGAAAACGAGGTTCCAAACCAAGCCAGCTAGAAAGAGATAGTCCACTCACACCACGCAATTACAAGTGCTACATAAAGAAACAAAGACATTCAGGACAGTGTATTTGAATTCACGTACCTAGTTTATCACCAGTGGCAGGATCAAACGCGAGGATATTGCCCGGACCTGCGGCCGTAATGTCGTACTGATCGACTTTCTCTGTTTTCTCGTCGGGTACCAATTCTGTCACGTATAGATCAGATACCAGTTGATTGGTAATCGATTATTAGGTTATTGTGGTCGGACAATTGGATACAATTGCATCAAATGTCATTGCACATCCACATCACGCTAATGTAATCGCCAGATGGTTGACGAGGTATTTAACAGCTGGATATAGATATAGATATAGATATATATATATATATGCGTGTATCAATTATTTGAAACAATACGTAAGAAGGGCCACGCTTACAATTACTTTAGCACAAGTACTGGTTGTTTAGTATATTGGAAGCCTAAATTAGGGATAAATAATCAAATTTCGGACACTTGTATAGTTGACACCTCATGTGCTATATCCCACATAATCATGACATTTAAACTTTCCTGGTTGATTGCTATATTTCTTGGTTAATTGCTATATGTTGGCAAACTCAAGGTAATTAATGACATTGACTCTATATAGCTAGTGGTAGACGCTTATCTATGGGGAGAGTGAGTACAAGAATATAAAGTCACGCGTGGCTCTGTGTGCTTCAGAAGTCATATACGTGATTTCTAAATACACATGTGTATATATATATAGCACCCACGCAAGCATAGCTTCGAAAAAAGATAGACTATGTTCATTGCCATGTTGTCTCCAAAAGTAACCACCAAATTCTTTTATGTATTGTGAATAAACTATGGATTACAATGTATATATGCACACAGCTACAAATGTAAAACAAAATCATACTCGCAATAAATTCATTTGACGAACCAGTTGACAAGCACATACTGGGAGGGGCTGCGACTGTTATGGTGGGGAAGCTAGGCTTATCGCTCTGCAGCTTCAAAAGGTAGAGCGCAAGTGCTACCACCACTACAGCGAGGGTCATTTCTGCGCTTATCATGGTGTCTTATGTAATGCCGTTACCTCAGCTTTGTGTGGGTGAGTCTGGGTGTGTGTGATATGTGAGCATAGGTGTGTATGTGTGGTGAATTGGAAATAGCGATATTTAGTACTCCTACGTAACTACATACTAGCTAGCAATTTTTTTAGCAGTTCACAGTTGACCTTTTTGTACACAGAAAAGCACTTTCGTGTGGGGTGCCATGATGATGATTGCCATCGATTCATCCTCTACGCCCAATCAAAACGACATAACAAATTAAATACAGACAAAAAATTTATAAAACTATTAGTAATTCCTGATGACTCGTCACTTTCGTTTCACTTTTTCTTCTTCTCGCTCTCTCAGTCTCAGACTCTCAGTCTCAGAGAGTGAGTCTACTCAACTACTACATAGTATTTTAGTATGTAAGTAAGCAGTAACTCAGTTTCCCCATGCAGTCACAAGGACTGTGTCCAGTCAGATTGATACCCGTTCCTTTCTCCAATTATGATTGGAGAGCGGTGTCGTGTTACGATGAAAAGTGGACCAATCCTTTTGGTATGGACACTGGGTCAATATTCTATTATTTATTCCTCATTTTGTGGAATAAAAAGTGTTCTATGACAAGTGCTGTACATTTATTTACTAAAAGTATTTGTACAATGAGTGTATTTGCATAGTCACATGTGAGGACAATAATCTTTGTCTAAGAGCTTATATTGCATATTCTTCGCCAATCCTTATCATAATCACATCGATGTCATCTCTGTCGTATCCATAGTCCTCTAGCAATCAAATATTTTCTGACATCATGGATGTTGCTCAACCCCTTAATCACTCCGACACCATGGTACAAGAAACGACCATGTCTGGAATGAACATGTCTCCAACCTTATTACTTTTCCTATCGTTATGTACACTTCTACTTGCGGTTCTGTTACGGAGCTTGATCAACTTGCACATTAATGGCAGAATACTTCGCAAAATTAAGCAGCCATCGGGTAGCTTGCCTATTTTTGGACACGCATTAGCGTTGCTTGGTAACACGCCCTGGGAATTGGTAAGTTTAAAAAAAATCAAAGTTGCCTGAATTTAAGTGTACTTGCTTCCTGTAAGTATGGTACATTTTGAGATAATGTATGTATGAAATTGCAGCAGGTGAATGTGCGTTTGGACCTGGTATGTTGGAGTATACGTATGTTTTGCACACTGTAAAATTGTAGCGCACAATCCAATCACACAATGGCATCAAAACCCGTTATCGTATGTTAATCCCAAGTATACCCCTCATCTATCTTTAAGTAACGTTGTCTATAACTATGCACACCACTCGTATTATGGCTTTATGATACACTGCTCCATGATATGCTGTGCGTGGGTAATATATATATATATATATACATATATATATTTACTATTTACATTTACATATACACATAAATACACACACACACACACACACACACACACACTATATATAT